TCTTCAGGACCAAGCAACGGGCAACTCGTCCTGGGGACTTGGATTCATCCGAAACCTGTGGAATCCTACCGGTCGGCAGACGCCCACAAGGACTACACCATTTTCGGACCAGATGGACGTTGATTGACGTCAATAGGATTCTAGTCTATGGGTCTTTTTCATTGCAGCATATTTCAATACCTCTCACTCATTGCTCTTATTACATTTACGCATGTGCTTATAACTTTTCCACTGTACTTGTCACAATAAATCACGTCTCAGCACCAATATTTTTCACTCTGCAAAGGAAATGGATTGCAAGATGAGCGTAGTGAAAAAAGTTCGAAATGTATAAAATCACAGCGGGTAAAGGGGAAAGAATGGATATCGGGGAAAAGCAAAAGGGATAAAAAGGACAGCCATCTAAGACGTTGAATTCGGTGCAGAGGACATTGGGTTTTTTTCCGATCGTGCAAAAACTTCCAGCGCTTGCAGGAGGGGATATACACTTCTTTTTGTTTCCCCTAAGAAAAAACGAAAAAAGAGTGAAGAAAGGGTGGCAGTATATAGGATTGAGAAACGTTGGTCGTACAATTGAAGAGAACAAGGTATTGTATAGATTCCACGAAAGTATGCTAGGGATGCGAAAACATGGCTTCAATGCAAAGTTCGAGCAACAGTCTACTGGACAGTGAACTGCAGCAAAGTCAGCATGATGAATAAGTTGAACAAAAGAGGGAACGCACGTAGGTAATGTCATCCAACCAACCGTGTTGAGCGACCGCGGCGATGGCGGGCGTGTGGTTGGCGGACGTGTTGATCGATGCCATGCGATAGTTACCAGCCGGAAGACCAGCAGTGACATCCGCAGTAACAACACCATTAACCTGACCGGTATTGACACCCTTGAAGAAGGCAAACGTCTTGGGATCCAAGATGGCGGGGTCGTCAAAGGCACCCATCTGTTGAATGACAACGTGGGTGTGTCCGATGAGCGTGTTGCCGTTCAAGAATTGGGGAGCCATATAGTACGTCTTTTGAGCGTTGGTGAATGTACCGGCTTGGAGGTTGTTGAGACGCATACGGACGGTGAAGGGTTGGTTGGCGGCGATTGTTCCAAAGTTTTCGGGGAACTGGAATTTGCAGCTGGGCATGTTGGCTTGGGGGATGATGTCGCCCATGGGGATGGGGTTGCAGGATCCACCCGTGACTTGTTGGCCGTTGGTGATGGTCTTGCCCGCGCAGAAATTGATAAAGTTGTTTCGCGAGGTTAGGGAGGCTACTTGGCCGTCGATGGGGGTCGCTTGACCGTCGAGAGCCAAGTTGGTAGCGACGAGATTGGCAGATAGGGCTAGGAGAGGTCAATTTGAGATAGGATAGGCTCGTTGTGAAACTCACTCAGGGAAGTGTTGGGATCACCGTTGTTGTTGTTCCCGTTGTTGTTATTCCCGTTATTGT